GTGCCTTTACCAAGGAAGGTACCCTACAACGCCCATCGCGCCCGCCCCGCCCACAAATGTCCGACCAATCCTGATGCTCGCATCACTTCATTTGCGAAGTAAAATATGAGGTGAACGGATTGACATGAAGCGGCTACGTGGTGCTGCATGGATATATAAGCGCATACGTGCACACGTATCTACCGCAGCGGTTACTGGCAAAATACCAACGGGTTCCGTGTTGCTTCCTGAATCGTTGTGAAACAAAGGCTTTTTGCAGTTTTTGACCATTTCACTTCGTTTTTCGCCATTTCTCACTATTTAGCACTCTTGCTACCGTTTTAGACAGAGTACCAGATTGTCGTGCCAACTGCCTTTAAGTAGGCTCGCTAAGGTGAAAGGCGGCTCAAGTGCCTTGTTCAAAGGTAACTCTGCCCCAAGTTTGTGTTGGTGGTTTCAATCGTACACACGCTCTCTTGCCCCTTTTCTCCAGTCTTAGTCCCCCGACAAACTCCAACAAATCTTCGCCTCTGGTTTGGATAAAAAGGGTGACTAGGAACATTTTTGTCGTTTTTCTTTGCTTTTCCTTGCTGGGTTAGTGAGCCAGACATGTAGTTCCATTTTTTCATAGAATGAGATCTTCCTAGAACTGCCTTGTACGCTCATATTTCAGCCTGCAAAAGAATTCACGTCAGTATTGCAGCTAAATATGCATTGCTTATGAATGTCATATTGCACTTCTTTTTCAAGACAGTCCCCGCGCTCACGTAAGTCGTGAGAGTCCTTTTTTGCACAAGTAGTCTGTTCCTTCTGCCCCCTTCCGCGGCTTCCCAGTAATCAACGAAGGCTCTGCAGCCCTCATGAATGGCAGTTCTGATGCCCCTCTAGCTTTACCGCCCACAAAACTCGAAGTATCTTTCCTGTCACGAGTGCAGTGCTTACACTCGTATTTCGCGTTTTTTCTTTTTCATATCGCTATACGCCCCACGCACGACAGCTCGACCGTCAGAGGAGGATAGTGGGGGGGAAGCCACCTTGGATATCGCCTAGCAGGTACGGAATTAGGAAGGCATGAGGCAGGCACCTACGGCGAGGCAGTCAGATTTTATTTATGATGTTCTCCAGTACTTTTTTTTCCTTTTTTCTTCCCTGAAGAGTCATGTAGCGACTGTAGGTTCGTAGCACTAAACACCGCTACCCACAATATGCAATCGCTGGGTTTGTTTTAAAGGTTTCTGCTCAGCGGCTCCATCTTGGCTAGCTTTTGTCAAGTGTCCAGAAATGCCTTTGAGATGATTCCACATCCTGCGCTGCGCGTTGTAGTTGATAGTTTATGGCTGTAGGCCGTGTTCGTAAACAAGCTGGCTCAGCGAGGTCACCCGGTCAGAGACAGCTGTCTGACTGCGCAGGGCCAGAAACGATGACCTGAGCTAAAAGTTCCGCCGCTCTATTCCCGATACGTGCCATTTCACATCGATGCCTTCACACATATGCACACTTGACACGTTCTCGTATTCCTCTCTTCACGTTATTTTTCACACGTGCCGTTCACGTATTTTCACTGCGGGACCCGCTATTCTTTGGCCATTAGCGGACTAAATTCCATTTGGGCATTTTGGAAGTTTTTCGCAGAACGTCGTGGGACTTTCGCCTGTCTTACTGCTTCAACTTGTTAAAAAAACTGGGGAAGGGGCCGAACCGATACTGTGTTTCTTAATGTGTGACCAAAATTTAACGCGAATTTCGATGACCTTTTCGATCCAGCGCAGGAAAAAAACTTTAATAGCTCTGGAGTTCAAAAATCAGGGAAGCCAAAAATCTTGAACTACTCTTGTTGTATTATTCTGGGTTCGAAAGGAGCCATAGCCAAAGCAGGCATCTTTCTTTCGCCTAGCGCTACAACGCAGCTTTTTTGAGTCTCAGGATACCTCAACCTCGAAGTCTTCCTCCTCCTTCCTTTTTCTTTCCTCCTTGCTTCTTTCTAACTTCTCTCATCTCTCTTCCTTATTTTCCTTCCTCTGAATGCTCGACCAGAAGATGTAATGCGAAGACAACTATGGACTTTCGCAGCGAGAGAGCATCCGGTTGACAGGTGCCTTGGAACCATTTTTTGGGTTCTTTAGAATTAATTATGAAACGGGGTGGAACCACTGGTTTTCCGGCCATCGGACTGCTTTCCACGTATTGAGAGGCCTCCAACAAGTTTGGCTACTTCAACTTTTTTCCTATTTGAATGTCTTTCCAACGTGGCCTAACCCAGGAATAATTGATCTACATCGATCGAAAATACTTGCTTGTTAACTGTAGCCACAAGCGAGTCATTGTTCCAACTACATTCACTACTTCACTTCAACTAAAAATAATGTCCCTGAAAAGAAGGTTTCAACTCGGTGATGAGGTTCATATCTCTCAAAGACGCCATTCGATAACCGTTTGCACTCCTCTCTCTAATCGATAACCGATCGGTTATCTATTTACTTACTATTTATTTATATTTATGTATTTATTATTTCATATTTATTTATTTTATTTACTCATTTATCTATTTATTTATTTATATCTTTACCTATTTATTTGCTATTTATTTGTTAACGTCAAATGTATCTTTTGTGTTTTAAATTTTAATTTTTAAAATTTTTAAAATTTTAAAATATTTAAAAAAATATATATATATTATATATATATATATATATTTAAATATAAAAAATATATATTTAAAACAAAATTTTCAAAAATTTCGAGACATTTATTCCTCTATGGCGTATTTTGTATCTAACAAATCCCGAACCACCTGGCTTTGATTCCCGCTCATTTGACAATTGAATTTGCATTCTTCTTACTTTCCTCACCCTTTTTGAACTCCCTACTGCACGTCACTGGGGAATCGATATCGAGTGATATTGATCGATCAGTGAACCTGTTCCACCATATTCTATTCTTGTGGAATCTTTTTTGGTTATCTTCGTTCGTCTGAAGTACCTCAACCTATTTAGTGGATAGCTTAGAGCGGCTGTTCGAAGCACGAAAAAAATCTGGAGCAAGCTGAAAAATTCCACTTGGCAGCCTGAATGTATTTATTGCTTTCCAATCCATCAAGTAATCAGCAAATGAAAAACAACAGTAAAACCAATAAAGCTATGATATTTGGTTAGCTAGCCAATCAGTGTGATGCCAGCGTTCGTTTTTACTACATTGTCTTCACTAGGCTTTCAAAGTTACTCAGTTCCACTCCTTTCTGAAGCACACTTCGCCATTGCTTACAAGAATCATTTTTGTGAGTAGGCCATGATGGGGATTCTCGTATCGGTTGAGTGTCAAGAAGTTGTTAGGTAGGGGCGTCAAAGGGCACGCTTGTTCGAGTGGCTCCACCCGAGCCGAAGTCTCCGCCCACAATGGTATCCGCCGTCTTGCCCATTTGTGTACTATCTCGCCCCTCTTGTCTGGTCTCTCTAGCCGAATTCAAACAACTCTTTGCCTGTCGTTTAGAAGAGGAAGGGCCTCATTTAGGGCAGACTCTACGGATTCCTCTGTTTTTTTTTCATTCAGGGATAAGTGGGTTCGCACATACCTCTAGAGTTATAAAACGAGCAGCTCTGGAGAACCCAAAGCTGCTGGATTCTTATTCAGGGTGTACTCCATGGTTTTTTTTTTGCTTTTTGTTTTTGTTGTTTTTCAACCCCTCTGTATACAACTACTTGTTCTCTACCAAAAGAACTTGTTGACCGGCCTATTGGGTAAAACTGATAGTTCTGTGACATGGTGAACAAAACTCATAACTGGGTATTCCTTTTCTTTGCTTCTTCCATCAAGTACGTACTCCTTGTGAGTCCGACTGCTATAGAATTCAAGATCACTATACAGCAGCGTCCAAAGCGTTTGAGAGCAGGCTCGACTTCGCTAGAGCAGTTCGCTGAAAGCGTAGCAGGACCTTCCAAAAAGCCTAATATTTTTGAATTGTGTCAGGGTTATGCACCATCACTAGCAGCTGGGCGCTACTAGGTTTGGAGGAGACATTTTGCACTTTTTTTTGTGCTTTTTTCATTTTGGGTAATAGGCTTCATTTTGGTGAAAACTATAAACTTCTGCGCTGCGATATGGTGCGAGGGAACCCATTGGCCACAGGAATTTACAGGCTTTCACAAGGTGGCCTGTGCAGGCTTCGTTGAGTGCCATTTAGTGCCCCATCAAGACGAACTGCGCCAGCAACTGTTGCATGTCAGATGATTCATCATCCTAGGTCATTTACAGTTACTTGTTGAAAGCCGTGCTTTGTTGTGCTCTGGGTCAGCTGTTCCTTGGAAGGTCTTTGTTGGCCTCGACGAGCAACTGCAATAGTTTTCTGAACAATAATGAATGCCGAGTAGAACCTTTCAGACGGTGCCCTGAATTGTCCAATTGAATCTTTGGAAGAAAGTGATAGTGTTACGTAATGAGCTGTCCACGTAGCTCAAAGATTCAAAGGGTCACGTATCCATAATGCTATCATCAATTCTTACTGGTTTATCTTACGAAGAAGTAACCTTCAACAATGAAAAATGTTCTGATGTTACTTTCATGAATTGTTGGTTGTACTTTCAACGTTAGAAGAGTCACTGTAAAATTCAGGATTGTACAGAAAAATGGCAACGGATTGCCGGAGCAGGAAAAAAAACCTATAGATTTTCTGTTCCAAGACAACTTACTGATAATTCAGTGCTGTTCACCAATTCAACGGGTAGTGACTACTTTCTGCCAAAAGACGACTCTTGACAATAGAGTGCAATTTGCTGAAACGGCTTTCAGTTACCTGATAGCTGGAGTCATTCCTGACTTGAATGCAGCCGTACCCAGTCAACCTGGGTGCGTAACTCTGGGGTATGCTGCAAAAATGTGAGAGGTTGGAGAAAGAGTGTGCTCCCAGTCCTAGCGCTGAGGCTCATTCTCCCCGCCAATTGCCGGGTTACGGTACGGTTGGAATCTGGGCTTTTTTTCCCCACGAGTGCAGCCTTTGCGTAGAAATTGACGACAACGTTACTGCAATAATGCGCTCACTACCCGGAGGTTATCACAAGGCTGCGCTTTATGGAGTAGTAAGTCAAAAAAATATCTAGAAAAGTGGCGTTGTTTGAGAGTCCCAATTCGTGCGAAAGGGTTTGCTCATGGAACAGCCGTAGGACGAGAAGACTGCAATAACTCAGTGAAAAACGAAACCCCATAGAATCGGGGGGTGGGCATAATCACGAGGACTACTTGTGAAATTGCACCTAACCAGTATCGTGTACAGGTCACTGCACCGCTGGGCGAATCCTTTCGGGGGAGGGGTCTTGCTGGAAAGGACATCTGTCTGAGGACGAATATTTCGATTTTGACTTTCCCTGTTTCATGTGCGCTATACACCCTAGTTGACGAAGTTGCAGAACACTACACTACTATTATTTTCGATGGTTTGGATTAGTGGTTAATTTATTACGTCTCCTCCGCTCGTATACCGTTTTTGAAGGAAAACTCGAAAATTTTTCGGAAAAGTAGGAAGAAGTTGGGAAAAATTAGGAAGATCGTTCAGGAGGGGCAGGTCGCACTGATCGCCATCGCATATCACGGAGTTGTATCTTAAGTGTAGGAATGTGTACTTGTTTTTTGGCACTATTCAAATTTTACTACCCGAAAAACTCGAAAAAAATTTCTTTTGGAACTCTGCTCATACAGGTGATTCGATGCTTTGGGCGCGAGTATGACATTCTCTTCTGACACTGGCGCCATTTGACGCCACTAGGCGCCAATTTGGCACCACTACGTTTCCTCAACAAAATCGGTGTAAACAACATACTGGGGTTATACGGTACCCTGTCACGAACACAACATTCGTTTTTGCCCTGGCGCTACTTGGCGCCATAGGCGCTTATTTGGCGCCACACCGTTTTCATCGAAATCGATAGAAACTTGCATGATGGAATTGTTTGATGCCCTGAGCTCGAATATGGCATTCATTTGTTGACACCAGCACCACTTGGCGCTCTGCTAAGACTGAGCCAGGAAGAAGGAGTGATTCCCTTAGGCAAAGGTCATTCTTAGCAGACATTAACGCCGGCGCCAATAATAAAGTAATCAGGCTATCAAATAACATTATCAGGTTTTCAGCGAATTTGGTGGTATAGGGTATCATGGCGCCGGCGCCAGGCAGCTTCAGGCTAAGCAGATGTGAAAATCGTGATTAGGTCAAAGTACCCCTGGACAAGTTTTCAAGTGAATTGGTGATTCAGGGTTTTTGGCACCGGCGCTTGTGGCGCAGGAAGCTTCAGGCCAAGCGAATGTCATATTAGTTCAGGATGTCGAACTATTCCTAGAAGCAAGTTTCCAGCTAGTTCTCCCCTTTAGAGGAAACTGGTCGGTCAAGAACGGGCCTGATTCCGAAAGTTTGGGGTAGCAGTAGTAGTTGAATAGTGCCATTTTTTTGCTCTGCTCTTGCTCGTGCTCTTCGTATTTACTTGCTCTACGTCTGAAACGGGAATAGAAAAAGTACGAAATCTGATATGTTTCAGAAGATGAGAACGTTTTGGGGTCGGAAGGGTAAGCCAATCACTCTACCCTGCACATTGCCTGTGCCTGACGACACGAACTTCTCACTCGAATGGAGGAAAGACAACAAGCTCATTATGAGCGCATACGGAGCTGAACCTGGACATGCAGCACCGTCGTTGCAAGGTAAAATAGGTGCCTCCTTAATCATCACTCAGTAGCGAAAGTATGCACTCCATATCGCGCAGATGGAAAGGGGTGGGTGCGTACACCGACCAGGATTGATCTATTTTTGATCTTGGTGTTAGTGTATCTTCAAGTGAGCGTCCAAGATTTTTTGCACTTCATTAGGCCAACGTTTCGGCTACTTCGCCTTCGTCAGGGCCTGAAAGAGTCCAAGAACAATTGAGATCTGTCCCCTCAAACGCCTTACAAGAACTTAAGACTATTCCGTGATCCTAAGGCAGCGTTCAGACTTCGCGACGGCAGCGCTTCGGTCGCCAATTTGGATCGATGCGCATGCTTTCGACTGCATCGATCGCGTCAAACGCGCGACCGAAGCGCTGCCGTCGCGAAGTCTGAACGCTGCCTAATAAACCACGTAAACGGTGTCGATCAACAATAGTGAGTGCGCTTACCTTGATCTCAGCAGCGATGCATGAGATCGGCCACCCAAGAAGTAGCACTTACAGCGAGCTGCCACCTCACCGCACTACCTCGACCTCATGTAGATCGAAAACTGCACAGGTCGGCGACGTGCGCGTTCACGGGTGATGGCTACACATTCCTAGGGACAACTTGAACCCAATCCCTTGGAGCGCGTCGATCCTTCTCTTTTTCTCTGCACTCTCTCGTCCGCATGGCACTCTATGGCCGTTGTGACTTCGCTCACTCCAGCTTTTCACCGACTATAAGTAGCTCACCCACCCCGGAGTCCCCTCCCCTTGAAAAATCCCGTTTCCTGGCTCGCCATACGTTTTTTGCACGTTTCGATGCTTTGGCAGCCGCCCCTCTATCCGTCTGCGTCACAGGGTTTCGTAACAGGACCATGCGCAAAGATGTCACGTAACCTTGCGGGTCTTTTGCCAGAATCTAAAACACTTCCAATGTTTTCCGCTCAGCGATTTTAGGCTCCTGTGCCAGTTACCTGGAATTGGACGTCCCCATGATACTCAACGTTGCCTACCAAGTGGCGTCCGGACTTGTCCTCACAAGCCATCCAAGTTCCCTTTAACTCGCATGTAAGGCAGCCCGTGTCCCCTATATGGGAGGCACTAGCACATGTGAGGCAGCGTATTGAATAGATCATCCTCGACTTCATGCAACCACCTGCTCTACCGGAAGGGCAAACCACACAGGTATTCTGAGGTATTGTGAAGTTGTGCGGAGGTATTTTTACCAGCCTAACGTCTTCTTGCGAGCATCTCTGCAAACTCGAACGGATTGCCCGGCTCAACTTCTTCCGAAATAGAACGGGAAACAAAATGGTACGGGAAATTCTGTTTATGACCCCGCGGTGTATGGAATCCCCTGCGTAGTGCTCGCGATTCTGAGTAACCGTTAGATACCGCAATCTTTCGGGCTATGTTAAGCCATTCTTGTTCTAATACAACATCAGAGGAGACCCTGCTATCAGTCTTGAACACACTGTCCATGACCGCCTGCTTGGTCCTTGTCAGATTTGTCGATTTGTAATGAACAAGTATATTCTTATTGCTCGGCTTGCGGTACCACCTTGGTTCTCACAGTGCTCCCCATCAATTGGATTTGAATGTTGAGAAAATTCGGCCAGTTAAGATCCAAAAGTTTGCCACACCCTGCCACCCATATGCTTTACGGGATATTATCAAGGGTAGACTTCTGCCTGAAAATGCTCACATGCTCGCAGGAAGACCGAGTAACTGATCAGTAATTGTAAGTACTGCAGTTAGAAACCTTGATGAGTGAGATCCCGTTCCTATGGGGAAATCGACCAAATACAGATTGCAGCGGCATATAATATCATCACTGCTCCGCACGTATCTCTCGTTCCAGAAGAATGATAAGAACAACAACTTACTTACGCCTTTACTATACATCAATCAGAAATTCATTACAAATGTTAAAATATTAATTTACAACTAATCAATAGTATTCACTCACAACGCTATACTGTCCCGTATGTTATCTACAGTAATCAATACATTGATTTATAATTATACATCTACATTAATAATTAGAATATCACACCCGACACGTTTACATTGCCACATTGTTACCGTTGTACTTGTATAAGTGATTATGAGGGTGGTTATTAGGGTCTACTGTACATGAATAGAATAAATATTTGTAACAAAAACTAACAAGTAAAAAGATTAGGACCCGTATGCGGTGATTCGAGAAAACTACTACTTTCCAGGCTAGCTAATATAAGGTTTGATTTGATTTTCGCGCTAAATCGATCGTAATTTGTTGGCGAAAAAATCGTCGGTATCCCTGATATGCTGTTATTTGCGTATCTAGTGATAGAAGGCATTTGTAAGACGACGTATAAGGCGAAGTGCAATTCCGTCCGATGTGCGGAAGTCGTCGGATGACGAAGTCACTGTAAAACATGATTAATTCACAAGCAATGTCCATAAAAAGCGAAAACTTGAGCGTCCGCAACGCAGTATGACTCATCAGAAGATTCAGGAGTAGCAAATCGTAGTAGTAGTAGTAGTAGCCAAAGCCAGGTCAGCAAAACTATCCACCAAGACCAATCAAACCTATGGTTGGCTCGAGGCATACCATTACTTGGACATAGCCAACGCAAGGGGAGAAATGTCCGCAGTAGTCTCTCTTAGGCTGCGTTCATACTCTACGGCAGCGTCCACCAGCGTCTACCAGCGTCCACTAGCGTTCCGAGCGTCCGGCAGCGTCAGCGACTAGGGAAAGTATAGATGTCGATTTAGCGTCTACTAGCGCCCACCAGCGTCTGCCAGCGTCTCGAGGGCTAGGGAAGCATAGGTATCGATCTAGCGTCTGCCAGCGTCCACCAGCGACCGGGAGTAGAGAGTATGGGGAAGTAGGAGGGTAGCAAACAGCTGGATTAGGCGTCGTGAAATTGCGGCGTGTGCAACCGCACCGTACAACTGCTAAAGCACAGAATTATGCAATTTAATGTACGGTGTAGTGTAGTTGTACGGTGCGGTTGCACACGCCGCAATTTCACGACGCCTAATCCAGCTGTTTGCTACCCTCCTACTTCCCCATACTCTCTGTTCCCGGTACGCTGGTGAATGCTGGCGGACGCTTGCAGGCGCTGGCAGACGCCAGATTGGTACGTGTGCTTCCGTAGCCCACGACAGGCTGGTGGACGGGCAGACACTAGATCGATATCTATATTCCTCGTAGCTGGCGCTGCTGCACGCTCGGAATGCTAGTGGACGCTGGTAGACGCCGGTGGAACTCCGCTCAAACGGTTTTTTTTTGGGAGAGGGGGGGGGGAGGGAGTGTGGCAGTTTTCTCCATTGCGATGTCCAAACATGAACTTGTAGGTCTACTCGAGCTAAGTATAAAATTAGAAACAGAATAAAAAGTTTGAAACGCCCAACACCGTTCGACTGCGATTTAATGGGCGGGGCTAATTTTAGCGGGCGGGCTTGCGCACGGTAGTCGGAGCTTCCCAAGCTTTTTTCAATTACTCGACCCATCCAGTCGGTAGATTGCTGCCATCCTAAATGTTCGCCGCAGATCACGTGTATGCTAAGTATATCGAACGCCACCATAATCTTGGGAGATCTCACTATTTCATTACAACGCACGAAACGCGAAACAGAAAAAATGACCCGCATATCACTCCAATAGTTCTTGTATTAGCTTTTTTGTCTTTTGCAGGTTTTTTTGCTCGTTTCTGTTTTTCGATGGCGAGAAAGTGAAAAAGGTTTCGACTTTGACAAAACCGGTTTTATGAATCGCTCTACTGAATTGCACTCAGAATCGGTGGGGTATGGGAGCACTCGTTTTTTCTTCTCCGAAGAAACAGAAGGCCTTATTATCATGGTATGAACCCGATCCCGAAGACCGTGCAAGCCTCTAGCCGCACAATTTGCAAGGGAGTGTGAGTTAAGGAATTCTAAGGAAGCATAGCGTAACTTTATTCAGCTACGGTTTTGTTACCTCTGAAAGATAATTTTTCCGCTTGCAAGGGATAAGCCGCTCTTGTCAAAGTACTCCCAGATCTAGAACTCTCCCTGAACTCAGCCCTATTGTGAAAATAGTCTCCGAGGAATTTCAGGTCTTAACGAGTCTATGGAACGACAAGTAGAGAGGAATATATGTATAGAAGTGCAAATTGGAGCTTTGCCGTCGTACAGCGCAGAATAGAATTCGGTGGTAGTGGAAAAGTCCCTTCTAATCAAAAGCGCTGGGGACTAGGCATTGCAAATAATTTCACGTGCGCGACATTCGCACCGGAGCCAAAACTGGCTCAATGTGTTATGGAAAGATGTGCAAGAAGATACTCCGCTAGTATGGCACGAAGCCGATTCGGATGTGTTGCACTGTCTCTGGGTAAGCGCAAGGAGAAGGTGGGTTCAAGGCAGCTGAGTTCAGCCCAACCAGTGAGGTTTCTGCGATTACGAGAAGCGTACGTTTCCCCAGACCCTCCTGAAACGTACAAAAGAAAAGATACTGAGGAAACTCTCTGCCCTGTGGTAGATGTTAGTGAATGGGAAGGTCTGAGATGGTTGTTACTTGTTAGACATGTTGCTTCAGTTTTGCCCCTGTCCTTGGTTATGCGGTACAGCTGTGTGGTAGGGAGTTGACAAGAACGTGCTGAGATGGTACCCTAAGTTCGCCTGTGATATGCAGTGTTGGTAATTGGTGCCTTGAGTTACCTACACGGCCTTCCCAAAGACAGCCTCTCTACTTCTTTTGCGAAATTTAGTCTCTGTGGATAGTCAGCCCATTGTGCAAGTCAGCGTTCGAATCTCATTGCCAGAATCCGACCTCAATCTCGTACCTTTACAGTCTCCGTGAGGTCGAAGGCTAGTCGGCCTGATCAGGACCCTATTGTAGCTGAGAGGAGGGATTTGAACCGAAGGGAGGGGCTTGACTCCTGAGCGCCTGTACGTTAAGGTGACTCTCATCACTACCCCACCTCACCTTCAACGAAATTTCGCTGCGCTTTCACGATTTTCTATTGGACGCTGTAGACGCTGATAACAGCGAAGAAGAAGGAACGGATCTTTGCAATACGAGTTCAATGCCCATCAAGTAACCACTTTACTCAGTCCTATTAATCAAGTTACACCTTGGAAGATCGTCGTATGGTTGGTGTTTGACCAGCTAATTTCACACAATAGGCTCTTTGTTAAATAGTAGATAAAATCGCGCCGCCGGATCTTCGATCATACGGTTGGCGGAAATAGGGTCGATATTTGCTCTCTACTTTGGTGACTAATTGAAGAAGATTTCATGAGTAAGTATAAAGTAAGATCCCATTGAAACCAATTAGGGGAGGAAACTATTTTGCCAGTGAGCGGCTTCTTCCGACAAGGCGGAACTCTCCATACTTCAAGAAAAGTTCTGCTTGAATTGAAGAATAAGGCTTCCGAGCTGACCATTCCCTTTTCTGAATGTGCCATGCTACAGTCATAATCCCTGCAATTGATAGGGCGTAGGGCTGGAACATCTTGGAGCGCAGCCAGAGCAGGTTTCTCACCGATTGAAGCGGGCTCAAGATTCCATTGCCGGAACAAAACCACCCTGGCTGCGCCCTTTACGCGCTGCGTCGCACGCCCTCTCGTTTGCAGGAATTATGACGTTATTTCCACTCAGATTCAGAATTACTTTTTAATGCGATCTGGCTCTTATAATATCTTGCGGGGATCAGTGAGTCAGTGTTTAAATCCTCTCTGTCTGGAACAAGCTTGCTGGTCCCGGAGTGGTAGGGCTTGATTAGCCTGTACTGGGGCTGTTCCGCGGTAAGTAGGCTACTTGTTGATACACCACTCCCACCTAAGACAGCGTTCAGGCTTCAAGACGGCACCGCTTCGTTCGCGCGTTCGACGCGCCCGAAGCGCTGCCGTCTCGGAGTCTGGACGCTGCCTAACAGATTTTTGAAGCCGCTCTTTTGTAACTATTAGAGAAATGAAAGTTCTATAACGGAGAGTTTATTTTTATTTGCTAGGGAATTTATGAAGAACCCTTCATATCTATGGCTTCTTCGACTATAAATTTGTATAAATTAAATGGAAATCATGTTATTTCTTACTTGTTTCGAAATGGCGCGATCAATCGTAGTTCCCAATCCATTCGTTATCCTCAAAGGCTATACGATTCGGCGATGCAGAGCCATAGGCGTTTACCGCAATGACGATAATCTGAAACGGAGAGGTAGTGAAGAATCCTTGGGAAAATTTTCTGAAATAATTGAGACTATTCGGAAAAAATTCTGGGGGAAAAATTTTCAGAAGAGACCTCGTCAGCATTTTTTATTCGAGCCGTCGTTTTTGTGACCGATGAAGATTTCCAGGCTTCTTTCCTTTTCCGATGATAAACGTGATATACCTAAAATTCCTCCAATACATTGATGAATGATCGTAGGCGATATTGGATCAGTCGGCAATGACACAACAGCAAAACAAGTGAATTGGACGGACGCAAATGCACCAGAACAACCTATCCGACGGGTGTTTGTTCCGTCTTATTAGGGTGAATTCTTCACCTCGGCCTTGTCGCTGCGTTCCCAATTCAGTACGGTCGTATCACCTTCAGTTCGTATATGAAGGTCTGAGACCGCTTCCGGACGCATATTGATTGTTTCGATTTGGCATTGACGAATCTGAAAATGCGACATTCGGAAGGTAGTCTGTGAGCCTCATTTGCATGTTATGGGAAAGCACATGTACACTCCTCATCCCTGTGACTGAGTAGGCGTGGCTTTTCATCATGGCGAGATACTTCAATTTGAGAGAACTGCCGTCTTGTTCTGTGTTGGATGGAGACATGATTACTTATATCCCAAAATGAAAATATCTCCCGAGGACCTGGGCCCCGCCACTTTAAACTGAAGTACGCAGCCACGCCTACCCGATCTCAAGGATTTTGAGTGTACTTCATGTCACGGAGACAGGGAGGGCGTGTTTGCCCGCTTTATTCGAACATAGCGCGTTGAGAGCTTTTCGTGGAGTATTTGCTTTTGGGACAACTGTCATCCTAGTTGTGCTGGACAGAGACATTATTGCAATTGTTCCGAAACGGCAAAGTAACCAAAAGCGCTGCACCGCTCCCCTGTGAATCGCGAAACCACGCCCACGTCTCTCCCGGGATAAGGAGTGTACGTAGCCTTTTCGGAATCCAAATTAGGGAATCTGTTAGATTGCTAATAAGAAAGTCGTATTTCGTAGGGAGAACATTTCTGACTTCTTGGTTTTCCGTTATTGGCCTAGAAAATACTCCGCGACCGTTCAGCAGGAAGTGACGATTTTAGGGTTTTCTTTTTTTACAATGGATCAGGGATTTTTCCCTGGCTCAGCGGGAATATATTTTCAAGGCTTCCAATGGGGAATCGGGTTGAACAAACGAAAAAGATGGGTCGTAGGTGGGGATCATTTCGAGGGAAATTTTTTCTCATATTCCACATCCTGTGATGTGGCCTTATGACTGTAATAATCGACTCACGTGGCTTTCATGCTCCAGGCAATTATAACTGTTTGGCACTGTCAGCTCATAGTTGCTGTCGCACATGCCGAGGCAGTGATATGGTATCTAAAACGGGAACACTTCAGTAACGTACATGACAAAGTCCAGTACAGAAGTGAGAATAAAACTGTTTTGTTCTAGAAGAGGTTATCTCTCAAACAAGATTATAAGTATATTAATAGTAACGATAATGGTAATAGTGAGAGCGTAATGACAGTAGGCAGAGCCAGGGCAGGTCCTGCTCTTGGGGTAATTTCTCAGGAAATACAACGCTCCTAAAAAATTCCTCCTATGGTATGACCCTCTCTGCCCCATCCCATCTACCCCCTCCTATTAGGTCATCCCATTCAAACGTGCCGGCAAGCGGGCTACTATACCATTTGGAAGCTAGTACCTTAAGCTGTGTATCTGTGAAATTTGGCGAACCTAGCCCCAGAAGAAGTTCTCGAGAAATTGAAAAGAAGCCCGAGTGGTGAAAATCGGCGCCGGTTTTTCAAATCAGGTGTCATAACAGGAAAGTGCGCTGCTCAATTTCGAGTGGCACCGGACCAGTAGTTGTGTATAATGGTGTTCTTGAAGTACAAGGTGAAAGTTTGGTTCAGGAGCCCGAAGAAGGAAGAGAGGAAAAAAATTTGTTGTTCTGGATGGTCCCATAATGTTCATCCTGTACAAGAAAAAGGGTGGATGAAGTCAGGCACTGAATATCTGATCACAGAGCCTGGACCTTTGTCGAGTTTCCCCGCGAGACTGACATCCCTGCTGCAATTACTGTACGTGTTATGACCGATAAACTGAGGACAAGGGGGTGTGCGCATGGGTACCTAATTTTCTTATAGAAGCACGAACGCAGTACCGATTCTATACCTCTAGCAGTAATGTTCTCAGCATGAGATGTCACTCACAACTGTGAAAACGCACCCCGGCCTTAGATGAAATATGGGTGGTCTTGGACCTCGAGCCGAAACTCACAATCGTCAATTTTGTATGAATGCAGATGAGAAGCCGCCCGAGTTCTACCATGAGGAGTTACGTGGGCGCAAGTGGATGATCATCATAGCAAAGGATTCCCACACTGTGGCTTTCAGGCGGCTCTATACAGAGAATAATCGTCGCTGTCGGTGTATATTGCCTGTTCCTCGGCAATCAGATCGACAAATGGATGATACCACACAACTACAAGAAGGCCACCGTTGCTCGTCATAGTGCCAGACCCCGAGTAACTGTATTGTAGGGCAGTGCTGGGACACAAACAATACTGAGACCTGGGTTCAATCGCCCCATTCGCTCAACATAAAGCCGTTCGATTCCAACTGATCTGGTTAGTCGAGGGTACTCTCTGACGGCAAACGCTACAATGCTTTGTCATTTGCCGAAACTGGCATCAACAGCAACTTACCCACACTTGTTGAAAAATGGAAGGTACCAGAGGTCCAAAGGCTTTCGGGGCACTGGGAGCGGGTCATTGGTGAAGGGAGGATTTATTTGACCTAAGGCTAAAATATTACTTTTTTATCTATTCTCCTCTTTGTTTTATTCAAATAAAACCGGCGGCACGTTTGAATGGGATGACCTAATAGATTCTCGCAACTTCCTACAACAACTTTTCCGGAACTTCTTCCATAAAGTTCTTCCACATAGCTGGCGGCCGTAGAACGGGCTTGAAAGGTCGGGGTATATAGCGCAGGCGAAATGGGGAAAAACGGAGGAAGGTCGGCAGGCAAGAGCAAACACACATGGCCTACTCGGGTGGGGATCCCCCACGTACGAGGTGTCCTGGTCAAAGCCCCAGCGTATGTAGGGAACTGTCAAATTGTTTCAAAACTAACATGCTTGTCATTACCTTGAGTAAAAAAGTGTGCACGTTAAGCAGGAAGTAGCATACTATTTGGTCCTTTCCGTTTCGAGAAATTCATTAAAAATGCAAACCATCTAAGTTCAAGCGGGGGAGGGGACGCTGAGGTACCGTAGTCTTACTCTTGTACTAATCCGGAAGCTACTAGAGACAGTGTGCGAGATCAAGTGGTCCGCGAAAGATCTCGCGCATTTGGCATCATTGTCCGCACTAGCAGAGGATGTTCGTTACTCAAAACGGCGAAATAAAGAAGCTAGAGACGCGATAGTATTGCAACCATGATCACTTCCACTAGACAACGGCTTACAAACGGACTCGTGTGTGTTTAGCGTTGCCTGGAGCATCGTAGGATGATTTCCTGTGCTCTCGTTGGAAGCCATCTGATTGGGCTTGCCGACGTCCGACAAACTCGTCCAAAAAGAACATTGCTAAGGGGGTTTTCGTTCAGAGTGTTCTCAGGGTTTTTTCGCTTTTCTCTATACTGCGGAGTTACTTATGATCTACTGGTTCACAATTGAGCAGCTACTACCAGTACCTCTCGATCGCGGGGACGTCTCTGATAGATATGCCAGTATTTATAAATATTCAGTTAGAATGGAACATAAAAGTAAAAGCAAGAAAAGAAGTGAGCACCTTTTTCCGTATACAGCATGCGGCACTATTCATCTCATTCAAGGTACAACGTAGCAAGCTTTGGAATTCATCAAGGCATCGATATTGTGGTAAATAGTTACCTAAAGTAGTTGGCTGAAAGTTTTCTGCCAAAAGTTTACTATATTCAATGAACCATACAAATTCGGTGTCCGAATCCAATGTGCAATTGTAAAAGTGTATACGAAATAATGTTGTGAAGAAGGAATCGCTACAGTCAAATGGCAGGCCTCCCCTTGAATCCCATGCCACCTTTTTCCCGATTGAGTAACTCCATATTTCGTACCTACTTCCTGTCGATCAACTGAGACTCCGAGGTTCGATAATACATCTTTGACTATGATACCAAAACTCTAATCTTAATAATCAATTAAACGCGCTCCATCAACTTTTATCACCCGGAAAAATTTTGGAAAATTTCGTCCGGGCATGTTTGGACTCTATTAATTCGAGTGCTACTGTGGCCCATTACTTTACCGTAACGTGCTCATATTCACGTGATTTCAGTATCGTTTACGATTCAGTTCTGACGTGGGGTTATCGGGAAGACGGGATGACGGGATAGGGGACTGACCCACGTATGAATAAGTGAAAGTCAGGTTTTTATTACAGCAAGACCAGCCGCGCTCGTCAAACAGGAGATAAGGAGAAAAAAGAACAAGGATAAAAAGTAGCGTTACTCTTTTATCGTACGGATTTGAAGGTTCACTGACCAGGTTTAAGTCCACGTTTCCTTTCACTGCCCGTGTAACATACAGAGTGGCAATGTGCACGGAATACGGCACGGGAGCAACATTCCAGTAAGGTTTCGGGTGGGTTCGAAGGTGGTCGTCCAACGGCATGTGAATGAGCGATAAGGTGGACCTGGAATTATTAAGAATCAATGTGAGAAGTAACAAGAGAGAGAAAAAGGGGCTAGATCGGGTTGGTAATGATGTTGGCGATCGGCAGCGGGTATCGTGGCGCTATAGAGCAGACACTAATTCATTTCAATCACACATCGAACAGGTGTAAACGGGATCAGAAAAAAAAGAGAGAAAGAAAAACTTCTACTGATAGAATTCGCCATAAATACAAATCACGCTCACCTCGCCGTAATCGTTGACATTTCCTCGTACATGGCATTTGTACGTGCCAAAATCGGACCTTTCAAGTGAACGAATATCAAGAGCCGATACGAGCATTCCAGTACCATCTTCCGATGCATAAGTAGTGACTTTGAATCGTGAACCTTCAAGTTTACGATATGAAGAGCCAATTTGTTTCTCCCATACCATATACATTTTGGCTCCAATGCTCATACGTAAACGACAGGCCAGGGTTGCGGTAGTAGCATCAGGTGGAAGCTGGATGTTGGAAGTGTAGCTGACCCCATCTTGATCGTCCGTTGTTGAAGTGCTAATGTGAAGAATATCCGACGGGGTAGACTTTTTGGATAGATCTGATGCATGCGCTACGACGAATATCGAATACTTCGCATCAGGTCGAAGATTCGTCAGATTTATGGAGAAAAGCCTGGTCGAATGAATCACCTCCTCATGTATAGCGCCGGATGTGTCAGTGACGTGCACTTTGTAGATATGGACCAGTTCCGGATATTTAGCTGGAGCACTCCATTGAATCTCAACCGATGTCCGAGTTTTTGAGATGATTTTTAAAAGTTGTGGTGGAGTAGGTGTAGTGGAATGACTGCCAAGAATACAAGTATACATTGAAGGTAGATTGATCGCCAAACATGATTGGTACCGTATCCAACGATTGACTCCGGTCGACGAACCGCGACACATAGCAAGGCAGGAATTCTCTTCGGCTTGTACTGCTGAAGTACGGCAGCATTCGGTCGAATCTCGTCCATCAACAAGACATTCAGCAATTTCCGTCAAATAGTGTGCACAACCAGTACGGGCCTCGAAGATTGAATAGCGTTCAATGTCGCCAGGTGGCGATTCAAGTCGGCATAAAGCGTGTGAACACGCATCCGATACACCACGATTCCGGCAACAGGACTCAATATGGGCGTGTGCTAGTAAGATATCTGAATTGTACAGCACAACGATAAGCATGACCAGATAGGCCAGCCTCATCGGAAGTGGGTCAGGGATTGCCTAGCCCGCGTAGGGGCCGCCGCTCTTGATCCCACTACCACCCCACCACCGCCCCCCTCTCCCCCGCCCCGAAACGGGTTCGCAAAAGAGTGATAAGCATTGGTCGAAAGGTCGAGCATTGCTGTTTCATGTATTTCGCTTGTCCACTCATCATACACTCTTCATCACCCTCCTTAAAAATGAAAAATCCTCAAAATTTCACTGTCTTTTTCGTAAAGAAAGTTGATTGAGCTATGTTACAGGTAGCGTTGCACGTGGTACAGGGCTAGGCCTCACTATACATTCCGTCAGTGGAAACGATGCTGGAAAGTACCACTGTGTTGTGACTCGATTCGCCAAGCAGCCAACCAGACCTGAAACAGGACCGCCTTTACGTCTCATCGTGAATGGTGAGCGCATTTTTTCGATAATTTTTATAGATACGGTAGACATGGCAAGCGACTTGCTTCAGTTTTATCTTCTTTATTTGCCGAAAATGCTATAGCTGATGGGTTAAAAAAGTGCGATTTTACAAATTTCTGGAAAATGTTGACTTCACAAAGCAGGAGGTCTTTTGCGCTGAAATTACAAAAATTGAAGGAGAAGTCCATTTGAACTTGGCGTCACACATCTATGATATCATTACCGGTAATCTATAATTGTAGCGAAAAACATGAGCGATATGTTGAGTTTCGTTGGATGAATACGATTGTATGTAAGAAAATCAACGGCGATATCAATAGAGATCCTAAGTGTCGATGTTTTCGCACGTTTTTCACACCTGAAAGAACATCAAGTTGTTCTCTCAGAGTGCAAATGTTCTTAAAGGGCGAGCATAAGTCGTTTTTTATCAAAAAAATTCTCGCCGATACCACCTACGTCATTTCTCTGGTACTTGTTAAAGTCGGCTTTTCCGCTGTAATTACTAATTAATCCAAGTAACAGTCGAAAGTATTGCATCGTCGTTACAGTACACTTCAATTAGAAATATTGCCATTGACCTGATTTAATGCTGCCAGTTCCTTGACTGTTTGCTTTGATTATTTATTTCTAGAGCTAGAAAATGACAGTTCAATTCCGTGCTTCTTATACTTTGAATTTTCTTATACTTGTATACTCATATATTTTCTCATACTAGAATATTTTCCTATACTAGTATGACTTTTAGTCTCTCCTGTTTTACTATCGCCGATCGATCATCAAGTGAACTATGGCAACATTGGTGATTCTCTGTCGATAGAGTGCAAAGCGGATGGGGTTCCACCGCCAGAGATCACTTGGACCAAGGTGAGCGCAATGCGTTGACTTCTATCAATTGTCGGGAGCCCATATTTTTTGTGTTTCATTTAATATATCGAAATTTTTCATAGTAGAGAAAACTCTGCAAGTCTGTCTGGGTGGTTTCGATAAGTCTAGTCCACCGCTGTGGTTGGGTAGAACACGATGTCCGCGCAGGGCACAGCATCGTTATAGAATTGCTGTGTCGATACGACCCCCCCCCGCCCGAATTTCATCCTCAAAAAGGACTCTTCTTCCACTTATTACAGCTGATGTCGTCCTAATCAGTCTGGGGGGGGGGAGGGTCAGGAGGTCTGGAATGACCCTACCTACGGTCTTTCTACCACTGGTTGTTTTCTTTTTAAACCCGATTACTAACCGATCACCATTGGTCGAGCAAAGCAGCTATGGGCTGGTTCATTCCGCCATTCCTACCAGGGCTCCCACCGACAGCTACGTCATCTATCATACCTTGCCAAGATTTTACCTACGTGCGAGGAGGTGGTAGACGCTTACGATGAAAAAGTAATTTTTCCGCACCGCGATTTATCCCCACAACAAAAAAAATATATAGCGCGAAACCGGAAAGCTCAAAAAACTGAAATCCATCCAAAGCCGAATACGGGTCTCCTAAAGACAAAAAATAGACCCTACGCCGAATCCAAGCTCATGTTATCCGAACTCAATGAAATGATCGGAAAGGAGTACTGCAGCAGTTCATGGGCCAGTCTTCTCGGCCGTTTTGGCCAAATAAGGGCTAAATTATTTGACGACGCCCTACCGAATAGGGCAACTGCTACTTAACGCGGAGTAGTGGTCCTTATCCTCACAAGAATTCGGCAACCAATCATAGGGAACGACCTGACGAATGCTGATTAGAGGGAATGGGCCAAACCAAAGGGCTTATTCATCCGGTCGCATGGAATCCAGGGAAATTTTTCCTTTATTACGTCCTTTCACCTCACTCCCCTGCACCGGCTGAAGCTCAATATTCCTACCGTATGTCAGAAACAGTGGAATTATCGAAATGCCGACTAGACGCGGTCCATACAGGGGTAAAACCGCCAGCCAAGATTTCACGAGGCGTCGCTCTAATTCATTCAAGCAACATTCAACCCTCAGGTTAATCGACGTGCGGCTAACTCTGTACATTTACTCCACCTCTACGGGCTCCTTCTTGTACCTGTACGCTCTTGGAACGAGAAACACCCTTGAGCAGGATCATCTTCATAAAATCAGTTCAACCGTAGATTGTTCTTACACGTTTGTCCGCCACCATTCCTACTGAAAAAGGGAACAGTGAAATCTGGGATGCTAGGGATGAGACCTTGTCTCTAGTTCTCGTCCCTTTTTTTCTCAGCCTCATATCAGTATTCTTTCAAAGGCACCCGAATTTACAACACCATAAAAATTAGTGCCAATTCTAAATTGGAATCCGACGGACTTACTGCATAAAATATTCAGAATGACAAAATCGTCAGCACCGGGCCACAGCTGCACATAGACAAATTGGAAGAACAGCATGAGGTTAGAATGTTCAGTGTGTTGCTGCAAAGCTCAGTGTTTAGCACAATCTCTTCAGGGCACTTACACCTGTCTAGCAGTGAATGTCGAAGGCCGAGCCACATCACATTTCGAGCTAAAATTCTCAAGTAAGTTGTTTCATTTATCTAACTTTCTATGAGAAAAATGCTAAGAACTAGAATATATGGTGTCGTTACATATGGAGGAAGAGATAATCCAGGGAAAAGATGAGCTCGATGTACCCCACTCCCCCCTTTCCCTGATCGACGTGTTTTTCAAGGACAATGTCGTAGAAAGGTGGATAAGTACTGTTGATATGCTAATACAGTATGATCGACCAGGATTGACCTACGATGTGTTTTTTCTACGTAGCTAACTTCCACTAGGTTGTCGAAGGTCTTCTAGTCCGTCATTTTGAACATGAGTGAGTTGGAGAGGGTCAGGGGAAAAAAAGTTGGAGAGGGTCACTCGACAAAGTCGACAAAATGATTTCCGGTTGTAGAGAGGTTGAAAGGGACTTTGAAATAGCTACCGCATAGATTTGTGCTTGATCAAACGCACTTGAAGTTACATACTGTTTCCTTTCCTTTTTGCCATCGGAGGGGCCGCAAGTTGCCGTCGTCTATGCAGTGCGGAGTTCCTCAGTATGAACTCGATCGAACGTTGGTTCCTTCAGTGTACAGCTGGGGACTGTGTCGGGAACAAGTTTTGCGCTACTCGGCTCAGAGGGTGAAGGCATTTTTTAGTTGGCTACTTTCTTTCACTAGTTGACTTGACTTACGCGTGTCACCCTGGTGAAACCTATAGACATTTCTCGAGCTTGAACGAAGCTCGAGCGATTGTACATTCACTAAAGCTCACGAGTCTCCACAGAAGGCATCAATCGCCGATGGGAAAGGTGCCCTGACCAAGACGAACTGAGCCTAGGCCTACGTCAGTTACACGTTTTGCGCCGGATCCAAGGCACTGATGGACCAGCTCATCGGAAATCGACAAATTACGTGATTACCCACAGCGCAACCTCCCACTCGCCCACAGACCATGGCCTAGAGAGCGCTGTCTTCAGAAGTGTTGATCGCTCTGTTTCGCATAGCTTAGAGTCATGATTTTCGCAAAGGATACGTGTGACGATGCGTGGATTGCAGCGCTGCCGGGGCGTTCTTTTTCCATCCATGATGCCATCCTGGGCCCGATACAGCTGACAGGAAATCTGATCTGGCTGCACCCCAAGCCATGTCCCCGTCACAGCTCTGTCGTTTGCAAGGATCATGGTTGTACAGGAAAAGAGCAAAGTTGCGCGAATGAAGGGCCGCGTGGAACTTTGAACAAGGCAGGAATTTTTGCTTGCCTCATCGATGCAGATAAATCCTAGACTCCAAACTCCATCAAAAGTTTTGGAGAGCATGGGAAGAAGATTTTGAAATGGGTTTGATGCAGTTTCACCGGGTAGATATTTTTCAAGGAGCTCTCGGGTAAAAGGGTCTTTGTAGCGGTTGAGGTCTACACAGGACTACAAACTAGGAAATTGAAAACTGATCAGGATCCGTACTGAAATATGAAACATTTACCCAACATGAAACGCCCGACCATATGACGTAATACTGTTCGCGAATTCTAGATAGAGTCTGGATCGGAGGTGATTTGTCATCCGCCGGAATCGCGAGAGTGTTCCATTAAAATATCACTTCTTCTCGCTCTCTAAAAATCATCTCACTGAAAAAAAATCAGGAAGCGATCACTATCAAAATCGTACTGTAAGGTTTCTTTCGATGAAAACCAGCTCTGCTCAATGGCTGTGGAATCAGAAGCTACTTGACGGATGGAAGAGGGCACCTGACAGTATTGGTGATTTTTTGGATAAATAGTCTTTTGATTATCATAAGTGTGCTGGGTTGAGCAAGAGCCAAACCTCAAACGGGAGTCGAATGCGCATTCCTGCTGACCAGGCGAGTGCGCTAACCATTACCCCGCCGGGGCCGCTTGCGCTCTCAGCTCGATGGTTTTTGTGCCATATCCTTATAGCACTCATACTATGCTTGAAGGGCTGAGGAACGATAATTTGGTGCTTGCTCTGAAGCAGTAGTAGGAGTACCATATAGTGGAAAAATGACGAGAAAGCGAAGTTAAACGGATCAGAACCAGCGGAAAAAAAAACTTTGTTCTGCACGGCGTAGGACGAGCATTTTCGGACGAGTTCCCTGTTGACATCGTGCCAACAACCGCTTTGATTAGTATATGTTCATATAACCGTGCAGCAACGCTTCAGATCAATCCTACTTCATGAATGAAGCAATAAGAGTACCAGCGTCGATGTGACTGTCCAGCCATTTGTGGGCGGGCAGTTGCGGTGGGCGTCTATGGTCGGCATGTCGCACCATTGCTATGCGTTATAACGATACTCGTGGTTGGAAGAGACGCTAGGCAGCGACAGCTGGGGGGGGGGCTACAATATTATTTCGCACTTGGTGTATCCACTCTATATGCCTTGCCCATTTATCGTGCCACTTGCCTTTAACGTCGTGAGCCGGGCCGGTTACCCGATATCGACAGTGAACCGCGATGGTGAAGGGCAACTGTCACCAAAAGAGCGCCACGCACCATGGGAATCGTGCGTGAAGGGTGCATGGAATGCGAGGAGATTTGACAGTTGGCCCGTACTACCGGCACACAGAATGAGACGCAACCGCTGTTGCTTCCAAATTCACCGCCCAGCAGCTGCCCGACAGTCCGCAATGATGAAGACTGTACATTCTTTTGAAGTTCTTTGGCATGATAGTCTGCCGTGTAACGTCGCGGTTGGCGCTCCCAAATGTGTCCCTTTGTCCCATTAATGCTGAGCCATAAGCGAGAGTCTTTAACGATTGTAGAGCTAGGTGGATTCAGAATGAAGTGACAAGTGAGGTGCCCTGCGACGGCTGGGCCTTCAACCCAAGCTATTACGAACTCTGGAAAGAATTCCCCGAATTTGTCGTGATTTGTGTTCTTCAAACACTTTAATGATAAAAACTTCATTCTTCCCCTGCTGATCTCGATCTTTGGAACTGATGTAACAACAGTGTACCTTATGTCGTACTACGCCTGGGCAAAGGTCTTTCTTGATGTGCTTGTAATCAGCTCAGCTCTTATCGCTACGCTGTGCTTCAGTTGCTTTTTGTCACAGCCAGGGAGCATAACACCTGTTCAACAATTTCTTAGAAAGAATTAGTGGTCTGTATTTATAGGTCTTTTTTGGTGGGAGGAGGAGCATTTGCCCTTTCAGCCAGTTGTTTTCCCTGCGAACGAGCTCGTGTGGGAACATAGGCTGGAGCACAGCCAAGGCAGCTTCATAGACCAATACTTAGGCTGCGTTCATACTTTGCGGCAGTGACCTGCTTCTACCAACGCCACCAGCGACCGCTAGCGTCTTCCAGGGTCTCGAGGGCTGGGGATAGGTATCGATCTAGCTTCTGCCAGCGTCTACCAGCGTCCACCAGCGTTCACAGCGACCGGGAGTAGAGAGTATGGGGAAGCAGGAGGGTAGCAAACAGCTGGATTAGGCGTCGTGAAATTGCAGCGTGTGCAACCGCGTGTACAACTACACTACACCGTACATTAAATTGCATAATTCTGTGCTTTAGCAGTTGTGCGGTGCGGTTGCACACGCCGCAATTTCACGACGCCTAATCCAGCTGTTTGCTGCCCTCCTACTTCCCCGTACACTCTACCCCAGCACGCTCGAAACGCTAATGTCCGCTGGTGGGCCGCGAAGTATGAACGCAGCCTGACCGTATGGTGGGAGAAGCAGTCGTGGTCGCTTTATTCCATGCTCCCTCGCACGCCCTCTTGTTTGCAGAGATAATGATCGCAGATATTGTGAGGAGAAACGGGGGGCGACGAAGCAGGTTCTGAATCGGATGGAGACTTGTGATCAGAGCGCGTCTTACGCTAGGGACCTCACAGAAAGGGGCTGCATTTGGTCGCTGGGGGGGGGGGTCCATGGCACTTGCTTTTGAGGAAATTTTTTTTCGCTTTTTGACTTTTTTTCTTGTATTTGCTGTTTCCAGTGCGCTGTCTACTCCCAACCCACACCTCCCGCCAGACGGTAGTTTTCTGGGGGAGCAGTGAAGAATTTCTTCAAAAAAAGCCGGGAATAGTGGAAAAAGTTGGGAAAATGAAGGAAGATGGTAGGCAGCCCGAAAGAACGGGAAGGGGGTGGTACAAGAGGAGGTGAACCATGAGGAGGGGGCGTCGACTTTATTAGTGGCAGAGCGTGCCAAAGTTGTGCTCTTGAAGAAAACAAAATAACATTGCACGCTTCAGGAGGTTTTTAACTCCTGAAGCGTGCAATGCGTGACAGCCGCGTTGCGACCGCACGCATAGGTGCTGCTGTGAATGAGCAAACGACCGAGTTCTTCTCCGGCTCTGATCATGGCCACCACCTTTGACCCCTTCCTACTTGGGCTGCTTGTCCTATGTCCCTTCGACCCCAATTAAAAATGGATAACTCTCGAGGGATACGCGCGATGTAGGCATATATCGCCGCCGTTTTCTTAGCATGTTCTGTATTGTAAAGTGTAGGTATCCAAATATTCTTAACAAAATTTTGTAAATATTTTGCCTTTTTTCAGAGAAACCATCATTTGACTTTGTGCCAACGAACAAGACTGTCGTCGAAGGTTCAAATGTGTTTTGGCGTTGTCATGTCGATGCACCGCCTTCAGGCATCCTCTATTCTTGGATGTTCCGGGATCGGCCTATAAAAACCACTCAGACGGGATTGCGTTCGGAATTAAAGGTGATTCAGGTCATCCAATGCAGAAAGAATTCCGGAAAGGCGGAATACTTGAGTGGACTGGCTTTTTGGTGAACATTTTGAAAAACGTTCTTAAGCGAAAGCATTTCGGCTTCAGGAAGGTGACTTATCCCTGCGCGACATTCGAAAAGAGGACGGAGGATGGTACTTGTGCATGGCGTCAAATCCATCCGGAGAGCAGTCGCAAGCCTCAGCTTACCTCGATGTACACTGTGAGTTTCTTTTGGTGATCAACAAATTCATTAATTGACCTTAAAATAGAAGTTTGGCGTGAACATTCAATAAGCGCGTTGCTGTCCGTCAAGCGACTTACAGTGTAGTTCGCTGCGGACGGTTGGGCGTGTCAGGCGGGATGAGTTTGGCGCGGTGCCAAACCCGTTCTCCAGCAGTTGTTAAAGCGAGCAAAAGATAAGGTTGTATCATATCGTTCGTATTACTCGTTTTCTACCACTGGTTGTCGCATGCGCGCTTCAACAAGAAGGCAGAGAACGGCTTTGACGGCGTGACACACTCATACTGCCTGACACGCCCAACCGTCCGCAGCGAACTAAAGTATATGTCTTCTGGAGCACTTTCTCACTTCCTGTTTACCTTCCTCTGACTCATGTTGCATTAATCGCTTCTATCCGATTAACTACAATTATCCTGATCGGGAATATGGGGAAATAGCATTGTCAAACGTGCGTGGTGCCTCTGTGATTGGTCAGCTCGCTGGGGTCATCAATAGCGAGGGATTCTCGCATACTCGTCTTGTGACTGTACAAAAAAAGTGCCAGTTGTCATAGTCTCTGTTATTGCAGTACATAAATTCATGAGCTGAAGTAATCAGTAAAAGCGAGAGATAAAATGTCCACTGACGATAACTTGCTAGGGCATACGCCACACTTCCAACCTCAATCCGATATCGTAGAAGCGTACTGGTCACATGTGGCCAGTACGCTTCTACAATATCGGATTGAGGTTGGGAGTGTGGCGTACGGCTATACAGTCTTGTTCGCTGCGGACGCTGGGAAGTTTAAGATGGACCGGGTTGGCATGATGCCAGCCATTTCCACCATTAATGGTTGCCTGCCGATTTCAACAGTGATGGAGGACGAGCTGGCGCCGCGCCAAACCCAGCGCTCCTGAAACGCTTCAGTGTTTGCAGCGATCGAGACTGAACTGGAGCCGCGCTATTTTCGAGTCACCATTTTGAACCCAACAAAATATGCCTGGAGCGATGGAAGGCACAGTTCATTTGAGCGCGTCTCGGCCTACCGAATCGCTCCCCGTGGGAACGTCTAGGAAACCTGGCGCTAGTTCAACAGTACCTCTTTGACTGAGTGAAAATCTTCGCTTCGGTGTTCCACTAATTTTAGCTTTTTCATCACCAGTCTCTCGCTCATTAATCACCTCAACGTACGGTTGTTATTGCCTTGGTTGGAAGTTTCTTTTTTGAAAGTCACATGGAAAATGGGAATATTGGATACAGAGCGATAGCAATAAAAAAATATTACTCGCTACAGCATAGTCTGGCTCTTACTGATTTTTCTGGCAGCACAGTGGGTGAGATTCTAAGAAATCGAGGCCCAATAGCCTCTGCGTTAAGAAAAACCCCCAAAAAAATACTCAAGATACAGTTATCATTTGTCAAAGCTGTCATTCTATTGATTTTGGACTATTTCAAAGTTTTCATTCCGCATTTCTAAATTCAAATGAGATTTGGTGAGGTTTTCATGCAAAACTGGTTTCTCGGAAGGTTTCCCTTGTTTCCTGACCAGTGAGCAGCCGCAAAAAAAACGCTCTGCACAAGAAAGGGTTACGTTTTTTTTGGGAAACGAGTCTGGATATTGATTTTTAAGTGATGTGTCTCGTGAGAGGAATGAAGAATGCGTATGTCGAAGAAGGAAGTGTTTTGGAAGAACTGCTGTGACCTCCTCTGAAATAAAAAAGAAAATGCCTAGGCGACGTAAACAAGCAATGCTGTCTTGTGGGAATTCATGAAACTAAATCAAAACAAAATAAAAAAAACTTGCTTTCATGAGAAGGGGTCATCTCCTAATTCACAGCGATTTTACGTTTGTCTCGGTGATCACACAAATTCAGTAGAACTTGCTGTTATGATTCAAGCTCAGTCGAATAGGATGCCAAGGTTTAGGCCCAGAATATTGGACAAGTATCCTTGCAATAATTTTTGTCTCATATCCTTTCGCAGCAGTGAGCTGGGCGTGATTACCCGTCTTATTCACGAATAAGCCATAAATTATCTGCTCCAGCTTAAACTGCAGCCTTGCGGAGCTTAACCTTCAATCCCCTTGAGGCAAAGTCCATCTCAATCTCAAATTTGAACTGGCAACCTATTTTTGCCTACAACATAGAGCCAACCTGCGCAGATAAGGCTGCGTTCATACTTTGCGGCAGCGTCCACTAGCGTTCGAGCGTCCGGCAGCGTCAGCGACTAGGAAAGTATAGATATCGATCTAGCGTCTGCCAGCGTCTACCAGCGTCTACCAGCGTCCACCAGCGACCAGCAGCAGACTGCTGGTAGAGAGTATGTGGCGATAGGAGGGCCAGCTGTCTGCTACCCTCCTGTAGCCACGCACTCTCCACTCCCGGACGCCGCTGGCAGACGCTGGCGACGCCATCCATACTTTCCTAGCCCTCGAGACGCTGGTGGACGATGGTAAACGCTGGAGGACGCTGGCAGACGCTAGATCGATATCTATACTTTCCTAGTCGCTGACGCTGCCGGACGCTCGGAACGCTGGTGGACGCTGCCGCAAAGTATGAACGCAGTCTAAGGACTATTGAGGGCCCAAATTTGTTAAAAGGAGAAGACTGAGGGCCAAGGACCATGATAAACCGACTGCGCACCACGTGCTCCCTGAGTGGATCAGTCATCCTTGATGTTGAACAATTTTTTGTTCCACATGAAAGCAGACTAGTTCTTCCTTTAAATAACCAAGATGGCTGGCAGCAATTCCTCGTAGAAAAGCCCTAATTCTTAAAAACCGAAACCACCACTTTCATCGGTGAAATCGCCTCAAATCCACGTGTAAAGCACGCGAATGAGTTTAACAAATCAATAATTAAACCGTGAAGCCGTAAATAGTCAAACCGTAAAACTAGTTAAAACATGGTTTCGGAAAAACTGGTTAAACTACTCAATGCAATTACAGTAGACTATCTGATTGGCCAATAATTCCTAAGATTTACTCCTGATATTTCATTTTCAGACTATTTATTTAGTTTCTAAAGTACCGTCGAAGTATCCACGACGTTTCCAATGTAAAAGCAATCTTTTAGTCTTGTCTTCATAGGGGACTGAGGACCCCTTCCAAAAAACCACTGAGGGTCCATTTTGAGGCTACCTTCATCAGCAACTTAGTGTCCTTCAAGATGATGATCCAAAGACCTGGGTAGGTGGAAACGGACGGGACAGTGTCGGGAAAATACGGTGTCTTGGTTGGAGCCGGACTGCATAGCTCCATCTATGTCCGTTACGCGAGATGTGGGTGAGCAGTGTGTGCAAGGCGAAGAGTTTGGTCTCTGTCCTACTCATCTTATTTTTGTGAGATGCCTCTCAACACAGCCGTCCGCAGTACATCTCAGTACTCGTAGCAGAACCGTATGACAGGGATTCTCGATGGATTACCCACTTGACATTCTACCAGCAACATAATGTGATCTTCTCCGACTCCGTTCAAGGTGCCTCCTTTTGCTCCCGGCTTGAGCCCGGCGAGCAAGTGAAGCCGTCATCAATGAAGTCAGTCGGAGAGTGCCACCGACGCGTATGTTTTGACGCGGCGCAACGCTGTTCTCCATCGAACTTTGCGGCTTGGGACGTTCATTGGCGCCGAGCCAAAACCCACTCGCCTCTGTCACGTCCCGACTGATTTCAGAAACAGCGACTCTAGTTGACATTGGATAAATCCAGTTCTCGTCCCTTCATCCCTCGTTGAGGAAGAACACCTCTAGAAGCAGGCATCCGGGTGGGGAGGGGAGGGACAACAGTGGTAGAACATGACGTACAAAGCACATTTAATATCCTGTAGTACTGGGCTACCAGGTGAACTGAACAAAATCCCAAAATTCAGTCTTCAAAGTTCCCTCAAATGATTAGCGAACCTTGTAAGACTGCTTTAGCTTATGAGTAATAACCCATGGATTCCAAGAAAAGCCACCCTGCATCATGCATGAGTGAAGAAGCTCGCGGTAATCTTGTATCACAATACCTAGTTTGAGCTTCATTGTACTTATACAGTGATAAAGATGAGGAGGACTAAGAAGCTTGCCAGTCTTCAAAGGTAACCCAGGGTTGCGAGTGCAAAAAGACACTAAACACTGGACCCAACACCCGTGGAAATCTGAGGGAATTTTCACCACATTGGGACCGCCGTTGTGCGAGGATCTCCTCATCATTCCATCACCTTTGGATCGGTAATTAGTATTAGGTTGTCCGGAAAGTTCTCAGCGTTTTGGGTGTTTCACTTTAAACGATCGTAACTTTTTTAATACATCGGATTTAATCGAAATAGGCACCATTCGAATCAGCACACTTTTGCCAATGTGATAGCAGTCGAGAAATCCCACCAAAGAAAAACTGGGTGGTCGAGAATCCACGAAATCTACGAGGGTCTTTTTGCCTGTTCCCTAATTGATGATGAAGTATTTTTCAGCAAGGAAGTTCTGAAAATGTTTGGAAAAGGTGGTAGTCGGTTGGTGAAAGGTCTGGAGAATATGGCGGTTGAGGTAAAAGTTCAACCCCCGAACTTCGTTTTCCATTTATGGATAAGTGATTTGTGGAACGTGCGGGCGGGCGTTGTCGGGCAAAAGAATCGGACCCTTTCTTTTGAAAAGTGTTGGCTGCATCTGACCAAATTTTCGGTACAATTCGTTGACTTCTTCAAGTAGGGTTCTGCTGTGACGGTTTGGCCTGGTGCTAAAAAGATATAGTGGATCACACCAGCCGATGATCAAGCGTGACCAGAACCTTTTTTTCGGGAGGGTTCGGCTTTGAAAATTACCACGGTGGTCCGTCAAAACCACTGTCCGGAACGTCTCCTGTTATCATACATGTTACATGACCATATTTCATCACAGGTGACAATTCGGTCCAAAACAGGTCGTTTCTGCTGCGCAAAAGCAATGCAGAAGGAACCTCGAGACGTGCCGATTCCTGCCGGTCACTCCGATTGGGCACCCAATTGTCGAGTTTTTCACCTTCCCAATGCGTTCCAGACCATCTGCAACAGTGGATTTGCCAAGGCCTAGCTCTTCTGCTATCTCTCGAACTGTTTGGGATGGGTCAGCCTCCAAAATCCCCCTAAAATCCTCGTCAGATATTGCTTTAGGTCGACCGCTATGAGGTTCATCTTCAAGGGCTGAAAATCTCCAGAACGAAATTTGTTGAGCCATTGCCGCACAGTGCTTTCTCTAGCACTATTGGGCCCCCACACCTGGTTAATTTGTTGAGCTGTTTCGATTGCGGATTGCCCAATTTATAGTCGAAGAAAAAAATCGTCCGAAGTGCTCTTTTCACATGCTTGAAAAAATCTTGAAAAAAGGGGGTTTATCAAGCATGGTGAAACGGCAATTATACCATCAGATAGCGCAAGAAATTCTCTACAGGATGTGCTACTGAGAAGCAAGGCAGAATGAGTTTTTAATCAGCAGTGAATGTACAAAAAATAGGTGCACAAAACGCTGAGAACTTTCCGGACAACCTAATAATTTCATCCGTTTCTTCCACTTTTTCATGAGATGTGTATGCTATGTGTCCCAAAGGTGCATTAATAACATTCCAGCACGAAAAAGACGCCAAATAGTCGATATGAAACAGCGCGACAAGGGAAATATGTGACACACCATGTGTGTCACGCGGTCCGCAACGTGTTCAATTCTGTCAAAATCAGCAAATCAGATGGAAATGTTCAATTACTTCTTTGAGATTCATCTATGTCAGTTTGCGTTCTTGAACATTGTTCATCGTTGATCACGTTCTTAATAACCACAATAACAATAGTTGAACCATAGTAATGAGGTCAAGTAGTCGTGACGGTCATATGTCACGTGTTTCACTGAACAGTTAATATCACATTCTCGAACTATTTGAACGTTTCCTTGGCTCGAAATGAACTCCACGTGAAAACATGACCAAAGACAAGGTCGAGGATTGGCCGAGGCCGAATATCACGCGCAATTTATTAATATCCAAAAGGGATTAACTACAGATGCTCCGGAAGCGCTACCGTCACATCGACAAGTGTTGACAATCGGTTACGGTCAAAATGGGACGTTATCATGCTCAGTGGATGCGAACCCGAAGCCTAGCGTGTACACGTGGTCCAAAAACGGTCACTTCATAGCCACAACGACAGAGGTTAGTTCTGAAGTATAGCTGCAAAACTATGAAAATCAAAGTGTCACATGGAACTTCCATTTAATTAGAGAATTGAAAAAAAATGCAATTCAAAAAATTATATGTGAAAACTTGACGCTTCGAAGACACTTTCCGAGATTACATTTTGAAATATGGGTCCGAAAATGAGTCCGGAGATGCAACTTGACTAGCAGAGAAAAGAAAGGAGAGTACTTTCGAGTAGGGCACATCACTGGTTGGGGATTTTAGTCGAATCTGTACGACCCCTCCCCCCTTTTTTGGGGCTTTCTGGAGGTTGGTACGACCCCCCCCCCTTTTTGGGGTTTTTCGGGGGTTGGTCCCCCCCCCCCTTCACAACGTCCGTGAAGCGAGAAAAATCAACTATCAAAATAAATTTTCCCCAGCCCAAATACGACCCCCCTCTCCTGGCGGCCAAATACGACCCCCCCCCTATGGGGATTCCCCAACAACGATGTGCCCTGCTCTCGAAGGCGTCCCAAATAAGACCCGAGGGCTACTGCAAGAAGCGCGACACCTTTTGACGCAAGATAGAATAGAGAAAAGGATGGGAGAAGAGCAAGACGAGCCCAAAGATGAGCGAGACGACAACGGTCGGTCCTACGCAGAATGATTGCAACGAGTCACATGTGCGATCAAGTCTCGCCCTAATGGGTGACGCATTTGCCGCGGCTAGCATTGCTTGGGCTTATGACGACGCAGTGTCCTCGTCACTCCTTATCAAGCCGCTCAAGAACAACCTCGGGGGTTATGGATCATACAGTCCTCATCATTGCGGACCGGTGGGGCGTGTCAGCCAGAAGGAGTGCGCACACTGTTGAAGCCGTTCTCAGCCTTTTTGTTGCAACGCGTATGCGACAAAAAGTGGTAGAAAACGAGTAATACGAAGGATATAATACAGTAATGCACTTGTTCCGCTTCAAAAACTGGTGCAGAACGACTTTGCCAAACCGCACCAAATGCAGCCGCACTGCCACGCCCCACCGGTCCGCAATGATGAGGACTGTACTATTTGTACAGGGAAGACTCCGCTATCAGGTTGTCGCGGAATGTGTTTTCGAGTTGGTTACAGTACTCGGTTGGGGACCAGTTTCCTTGGAAATGTTAGTCGAGCTGCAGATCCTGGGTCGTGCCAAAGGGGGGAGGGGGAGGGGCTGACTCGTGCGCAGCACCAGTCCGTTGTCTCGAAACTGTTGGGGAAGGGAAAGCGACAATTGGTGGTGGCTGAATAGCGCGGAGGTTGCATGTCTCTGTGAAAAAGCTGTGAAAAATTGTTGGCCGAAGAATATGGTTGTGTACCTGTACACAGGAAGACTAGCACTGCGTTCTCCAACCAGTAATTGTTCACAAAGGACAAGCGCCACGCTCGTACCCAGATATGCTCCTGGACACTTCCCCTCCAGTTCAAGGTGCCTGTTGTAGCGCTAAGTCAGAAGATGAATTTTAAAAAGTGTAAGTTGATCACACCATTTCGAAAAGAATACGTTTCTTGTTTGACGCTCTTGCTCAGAGTTCTTGCATGGGTAAATGAAGGACCACTGTTTTATTAGTAGCTGGAAGTAATCTTGACCTTTTTCCGAATCATGCAGTTGTTTCTCTGGGAATCTTGTGATAGTTGACCTACAGAAGTGCAATATCGGAAATATTCTCCATATTTCAAGAAGAATTATTCACAAAGGTCATTGTTAAGGACACGTTACTGATACAAGCCGAAAAAGACTCAGATGGCGGAATTTTCGGGTGTCAAGCGGAAAATTCCGTCGGAAGAAGTCCGATCATTGAGACGCATGTTATTATCGCAGGTGCGTGTGCTCTTTAAAAGTCTGGGTTTTTTCAACTCAATGCCCAGCCAAAGTACTGAGAACACTTTTTCAGAACCACCAGTGTTCATTACTCGGCCTCCAGCTGAACTTCGGGTGTTTGAAGGAGCACCGGTCAGTGTAAACTGCGAAGGATTTGGCGATCCCCTTCCAATTGTCTATTGGGTTCACTCTAAGGCAAGTACCACGCCCTGACCTTGACTTTGATTTTTATTAATTTTTTCAACTCCTTTTCAGAGAAGGATCTCTTCGGCCACACTGTCTTTTCCATCAGTTTCGCATGGCGATCATGGAATCTATGACTGTGTCGTGAGTAACGCTGTATCCACAATATCCACCCCAATGAGCTTGATTGTCGAGGTTCGTGTAAATCAAATCGATAGATTCTGCCTTATTGTAAGTCATGGCCTCATCACACTGCGGTCTACGAAGACTTTATTTACCAGTTTGGGGTTATTGGAAGACGGATTTTGCAATAAGCTGCTAGGTGGCGTTCCTTCCTGCGTATAAGGAATGAGGCCCCTCAGCGCTCAAGTTGTGCCGCTTTTGCAACTCGGTTATGTTAAGGGCGCTCGGTTTTTACGATGGTTAGAAACCCGCCCGTTCCAAGTACCGATGCTATGGAGCTGCTGCCCATTCCCCCCCCCCTTGTGTGGCCATGTGAGAGTGAGTGTAGCCATGTGACTCCCTGCGCCTTTCTGGCCTCAAGAGGCTTGCTAAGTGTCTCTGCGTCTCTATTTACCATATGCTCGCCCAGTGCTGAAAACCAAACGTGCTTCGTTCGGGGCATTCTGAGAACGGTTTTTCTTACAGTTCTCTGCAAACTTGATTCATTTGACCTCTTGAAGTTCGGCGATGACTAAAACCAACCACGATGACTGGACCCCATTACCGTCGACTTGCACTCACGGAAAATCTCTATGACTTCATTATTGTTTCAGAGAACTCGTCCACAGGCGGCCGTGATTGATAGCGTCGAATGCGTTGGCGATGAAGCAATGGCTGTACATTGGACGCCAGGTATTAAGATTCCGACAAATTTTTCATGTGGGCTGCTTGGCCACCAAAACACGAGTATCACACCCGCTTGGTGCAAATACCTTTCACCATAGACGCCAACAGAACAACCCACTTTTTATGCCAGCCCCCCTAGCACACCATCTAGCGGGGATTTTTGCCTGGGCGGCGATAAAGGGGAACAGTACCAAAACAACATGACGAAGTCGTTCGCCACAACTGGGTGTAATTTGAGATGGGGATTTTCTAAGGTTCCCTGCCAAATTGTGTAAGTATGTAGTACTGCTGTGGATATTTCTGCACTATATACCCTATACTGCCCCAACATTCCTAGATCAAGCCAGCCTACACTGGCTTTTTTCTCCAGATGCAGACATGGCTGAAACATGTCATATTTTAGGAGTAGCTTGACTCCACTGACCACGAATATCGCCTTCGCACGGTCCAAAAGCGCCTGGCGTTCGGGCCACAGGAATCGGATATATTCCTGTTCAGGGGAATCAAATTACTTCTAGAGATTTTTAGACAAATCAGTTTTGACCAGAACTTCCAAAAATGGTGCAGTATAGGATAGATAGTGAAACTGTTATTGCTATTCTCTCTAGAAATTTTTTCAAATTGCCTGGCTTCCGTATCGACCGGCTTTATTCAGGTTTCAACGGCTCTTATCCGCAGTCATTTGTCATCCATTATGAGTCCGAAAGAGATTCGTCAGGGAAGACACTTCTGACGACGTCTACATCGGCAACCATCGGGGATCTGATGTCGTTCTCCAAGTATCGAATTCAGATCGAAAGCCGGAATCAAAAAGGCTCAACAAACTCAAGTGTTGTCGAGAAATACGGTCAGTAAAACGAATGACGCCCTTTCATTGTTAGAAGAGATTCTTTAATTTCCTTTGTGTTCACCCGACAGCGTCCCAGTTCTATTCCAGCTGCCTAATGACCAATCAATGAATAACATTCTTTTCCATCCTCCCATCCAATTCACCTCAATCACATGAGAAAGTGCCGATCATGATCGCCTTTTATATCCTAAATACCAGTGAAGTGGATCTGATCGTTGAATCGCCAAACCGATGGAAAACAGAAGAAAGGGGGCTGAAGGAGTGTGGGAGTACGCGTTCGCGTAAACATCGCCGTTAGGGTACACCTTGGAATGGGTTAAACGTCGTTGTCAGTACCGGCGATCGTTCCCGGATTAGACCCTCATATCGTGCGCCTTCTAATCAGCCCCATTTGTAACAGTACTACCTCGTTTCTGGTGCAGATTTATAGTAACGGTAGTCCCGTGAATGTAGCTTCTCTCCGTTATTCTCAGGAGAATACTCACTGCCGAAGAAAGTTTTCATTAGTCTTTGGAATCTGCGAGAAGATGCTGCCAATACAATACTGCTTACAGTTTATGTGAAACCCGTACTCTGGAATTTTTCCGCGAAATTTCATATTCCTCAGGAAAACAGCGTATCCACCGTTACACCCAGCACGAACACACACGTTCCGTGCATGGCGCAAATATTACGAGTTTGCACCCAAACTTCTTGGATATAAGTCGTTTCCAATTATAGACAGACCTAATCCGGCTGCCGTGCTGCAAGAAGACACGCCATCTTGATCACCGACCTCCGATATATGGAGTGAGATGATGTATAAATGATCTTACCACATATGAAGATGGGATGAGTCAACAAGTGGGCGCTTAACCATCGCGCGCCTTTGATTCGTCAGCACACTGACTTGTACATCGGCTGGCCCCCGCAAGTCATTGTATAGGCCACATCGCATTCAATAAGCCACTACGATTCTGAATGGAAGTAGAATGCGTGCCGCATCCCACAAAGGGATTGATCAATGGCGAAGACTTTTTCGTTTTATCCTTTATTAGAAAATGAACAATTTGTTTCGAGGAATGAATTTGTAGTGTGTTTCAGTCTGCTCCAACTTGCCTGCACCTTCAAATGTCCATCTTATCGGCGATTCGGAACTACGATGGGATCCTGTAGAAGAGGCTCGTTCATATCGTGTTGAGTCACGATACGATAAAATGTCATCATTCAGAGAAATTGTGAGGAATTAAATTTTTCAATATTTTCCCTGTAACGCTAACAGTATCTGATTAATCCGCGTTCCACTGTTTCGAGACCGTGGGAAATAATCGGTGGGAAAATTTTAAAAGGGGAATGGTGTGCCCCCTGCGGTACAATTTTGAGGACTACGAAATGGAAGGCTTGGCTGACTAGGAGAGGGCTAATCCGGGACTCAAACCCAGGAGACGCGCATGAATATTAATCCTTTTCCATGTGTCATTCAAGCAGTTTGAGCACAACCTACGTGAGCCGTTCAAACGTAGATGTAGGCTATATTGAGAGCAACGCTTGGGGGAGGCGCGCTACACGCCTCCAATCTGTGCTGCTGCGCAATGTTTGTGTGTAGTCGATGGGTTACTCAAAGCTACTCTAGCTATCGCTTTATTCAGACTGGGCTTCGTTGAGCTCGATTTCATGGTAAATATTTCAGGGGGAAGTTCGAGAGCCGATATTCCGGCTCAGGCCTGATCCTCGTCCCGGGCAATCGTTCCGCATACGAAGTCCTCAGGCCACCCTATGAACCAAGTTTACCAAGTCGGCCGATAGATTTTGGATCATTTGGTAACATACTTCAAACCGACCACCTAATTTCTCAATTTTAAGTTCAATTTTCAGGTGGAAGCGTTCCATCAATGTGGTGGGCTGTCTTCGGCGGATTTCTATTTTTCTTCTTCTTTATGTCTCTATATCTATATTCGAAATACGGGAAATATATTGGACGGCGGAAACGAAAGAACAAGCATTACAATGATTATGGTCGGCCTTTGTGCACAATAGAATCATGTTCATGTTACTGTAATTTTATTGATTGATTTCAGTCTGTCCTTCATCTTTTCAACCCCATACGGAAACACTCTACGAACCATCGGTTAACCTGTAAGTTGAATGTTTTTAATTAGACGAATAATGGAAACTAGATAAAAGAAAACCAGTAAGTAAAGTGTATGTAGGAAGTGTGAAGTATCTTGGAAGGATGATGGGGAAAGTAGATCATGGCAAGCAGCCAAGTTCAACTGCTCTTAATTGTGTAAGGGTCTTTTGCGGAGGTATCATTACACTACTCTAATACAGTGTATAATCGTATAGGCGATTATATGGTACCCTCGCGGTTTCTTCCATGTTGATACAGTCCCATTATTTACTCCACACCCAGCGATAGAGTGGGCGTGGCTGCGTACTTTACCTTAATATGGCGTGGGAGTTGCTCGCACGATTATCCCATATGATACAAGTGCGGTCTCTCTTGGGCGAAACAAAGTCGCGGCACAACAGTTTTGAAACTGAATGTGTATTAACAATGTGAAACTCCAAAAGTTTATTCCAAAAAACTCAAAAGACAGCAAAAGTCTCAAAAGTTTTTTAAAATATATCTTATCTGGCTATATTTATCTGGCACATAAGA